CCGCCGCCGCTCCTCCTCCTGTTCCAGCTGCCGCCGCCGCCACCGCGGCTTCCTGGGCTGAGTCCGCCTGCGGTCCCGACGGCGCCAGGTGCGTTTTTCCAGTCCGGCTCCTGCCCGCGTCCGCCGCTGCCGTAGCTGTCCCGGGCTCCCCGCCCCGCTGCCGAGATGGCGACGCGCTCCTGCCGGGAGAAGGCTCAGAAGCTGAACGAGCAGCACCAGCTCATCCTGTCCAAACTGCTGAGGGAGGAGGACAACAAGTATTGCGCCGACTGCGAGGCCAAAGGTAGCGCGGACGTCGCCGCCTCTGGACGGGGCCTCCTGCGGCCGGTGACCTTCCCGTAGCCGCGGTGCCCGCGGCCCGAGCAGGCCCGCGGGCGCGGTCATAGTCCCAGCCTGCTTTACTACCCAGTCCCGGGCTGAGCTGGTGGCCGCGTCCGGATTCTCGGACCCTCCACGGGGTTGGGGCGGGCCGGGGAGCGGGGACCCGGCGCCCCTCCGGGCGGTGCTTGGGGTTAAAAGGTTGCCCTCCCGCCTCAGCTGGCATACTTCGGTGGGTGGGGCCGCCCTTAGGTCTCCGCATCTCCCTCGACCCTTCGGCATAATCCCGTCCTCCCTCTCGGGGCTCGGATGCTCAGTATCCCAGGTGGAGTCCTACCTGCCCTCCCACCTGAAAGCTTTTGTACAGGGGTTTTGCTTCTGCTTCCTGAGAAGGAGTGTTTTTGGTGCGTTGAAGTTTTACTAAAGAAACCAGTTGGGGAGAGGTCTTTATTATTACTAGCAGTATTATTGCTTTTTAGTCTGGATATTAGCCAGAATTAAGAAGAATTTCATTATACGAGTCTCCTGGACAATGGGCTTATGTTCCTGAAGATTTTAATAATTAGTTTCTCTCTGACAAGCTAATTTGGGAGAATATGTGAACACTGATTTGTTTGCCCCATAAACATTGAAGATAACATTTTAAAGATCTAGAGATGGAAAAAAAACCTAATTTTAGTTTGTTCAGATGAAAGGCTTATGCCTCAGCCTTTGAAATAGATACACTATTTTTAGCTTATTTGGGGTTTAGAGAGCTGATTTATATTTAATGTTTTATAAGTAATCTCTTGGGGAAAATGTTTCAGATTTTAAAAAACAAACCTCATGTGGTTCGGAGAATACCTTGCTTATTTGTAAATTGACGTATTTGTTTATTCGGTGAGAAATAGATAGTGCTCCAAAACAGGAGTCAGTCAGTCTTTGGGAATGTCATTTAAGATTTCTGCGTTATTTGACCTAGACTTTTCCCGAAGCTTTACTGTTCTTCCACAATACTGTATAAACGAGTCATGTTTCAGTATATGGATATTTGATTTGACAAAGCCACACAGCAGCCAGTTACTTCACTACCATAACAAGTACTGGATTACTGTAACTAGAGCATTTTATGAGCATTTTTAAATATAATAGTAACTTGACTGAGCCAACCTTATATTTATTTTGTGTAACCTTTCATGCAATGAGTTAAAAATGCCTGATTATTGTAGTATTGTTTGTTACCTGATATTGATTATGTATGTGGATTTTTGGGGGAATACTGTTCTGTATTGAGGCACAGGTTGTCACTCATTACTGCACTAGTAAAACACTGAAAAATGGGCCTTAAAAAAGCCAGAAAAAGAAACGAACTGAGGTTATATGCATCTGAGTAATAAGTAATATAGTTAGGTAGAGATGCTAGTAAACATGAAATCATTAAAAATTGAATAATAACACTTTTAGTAGTTTAGATATAGAAATAATTTAAAAATAATTTTTATTCAAATTTCTTTCTCCCCAGTAGTACTTTATAGAATCAGATTTTCACTAATGCTTCCTAAAATAATTTACAGGTTTTTAAAAAGCCATTGTTTACCACGTTAATATTTCATTCACTTTTTTTTTGAAGTGGGGGAGGAGAATCATGTACTTCTCAAGTTAGGACAAAAGTTTTATTACTTCTGTCCTGAGGAATTGGGAACATTAGTTTTTCTCTCTATTTTTATTGTCACTGAGGTCAACAGATACATATTGAATGAATGTCTTTTTTACTTTGGTTTTATTTGGTCTTTTGTTTGTAGATTTGTTTGTTTTTGAGAAGTGGAAAAAGTGTGAGAGAAGAAAATAGCATCAAGAGTTCAAGGGCACAGTCATTACTTAGATCATTATTTTTTTCTTGTTGCTACTAAATCTAGAATAAAGTTAATCTAAATCATTTCACTGTTTTATTTTGATCTCTTCAGGAAAAAAAAATCAGTTAAGGACATTTATTGGTTTAATTAGACTTCATTTCATGGTTACAATTATCAAAAAATTTGACATGATGGGATGGCTGATATAATTAAGTATATTTTTTAAAGTTTTTGAGCCTTTAGTCGAACCCCACTCTCTTAGTAGAATTTTTGGCTTGATTTTTTGATCTCTTATATTTGTCAGATGATACAGTAAATGTAGGTAGTCAAATTCAGATTAAATATACTTTTAAAAGACATGCAAAGGGTCTTATTCTACAACTCCATTATTATAAATAGGTTCCATACTAGGTATGTATATTGATGTTTCTGTTACTATTAAACTTTATCAAGCTTTTCATGTATTTTGGAGCTATTCTTAATTAACTCAATTTTCTTTCTTTCAAAGAGTGCTTCTTCCCCCATTGCTCCTTGAGAATATGTTCTAGAAACTAAAGTCTAGAGCTAAAGAATACCCTATTCTGTTGACTTATAATAGTTCACAGAGGATGTCAGTCAAATCTTGACTTTTTATTACTGAGTCACCAGTGCGTGTTTCCTGAATTGACATTATTTAAGAAGTAAGGAAGGAGCAGAGGATGGCATAGATGCCAGTTTCCTGTTTTTGATCCCGCTCTTATCAAATCTGGTAAGCAATTGGAGAATAAGAACAGGCAGATGGAGCTGCATTTTCTCTTCCTAGCCTCATTCGTGACTCTGGTTATTAGTTGGTGGTACTTTATGGAGCAGTGAGAATATAGAGCCTCTTGCCAACATAAAGTTTAGTTTTGAGTAATTAAAGTTTCATCCGCAGTAATACTAGCTTTGATATGGAACTTGTATAAGTCGGCATGAAAATGTATCTCTTGCCCAAACGTTTCGGAATAGTCAAAATCAAGGTTTTTGACTCCTAGAGACCATTTTGTTCCATGGGTCTGGAATTGAGAGGTTAAACTCCTTGCCCAGATCCAACACTCATTTCTTCATTCTCAGGATCTTAAAGGGATGCTGTTACGCACTGTATTGGATTATGGATCTAAAAGAATTGGTAAGACCTAAAAGAATTTGTTTAGTGGGGGCTGCATTTTTGCAAATGAATAATTCTAAAACTGTGTACTGAGTGTTATTTATAATAGTGGTTGTAAGAAGTGCTTCCACTTATTTTGGGCTGCTGGTCTCCTTGCATTCTGACTTTTTGTCCATGGGTTGTCTTCAGAGCTCTTAGAATGCTGACTTAAGGCCTATGCACATGTTGCTCCTTCTGCCTAGGAAGCTCTCTAATTTTTTTTTGGTAAACTGATTAGTTTTACCTATTTTTCAGTTTCTGTTTAAATGTCTCTTCAAGGGAAATGATTCTTCTTATCCTCCCAGATTAGGATAGGCTTCCATTTATACATGTAAGCGCACCCTGAATCTTTTATTACACTTACCACAATTGTAATGAAACATTTTTCGGATGTTTATTGGGTAATCTATACCCCCTGTTGGATTATAGCTTTAAGAGAGGAGAGAGCTTATCTGTCTTGTTTTGACTTGTACCCCAGCCCTCAACATAATGTGTGATATGTGATAGGTAAATGTAACTCAGCATATATATTTTGAATGAACGAATGTGAATGGGCGCAGAGCCAAGGGCAGCAGGATATGTGAAGAGAGTGCACATATGGGCATGTGACTCACAGAAGGAGTCTTGTTTGAGCTAGGTTCTGAAGGTGGAGTGGGATTTCACCAGATGGAGAAGGAATTGAAAGACATAGTCTATAAAATACAGGTATAAAAGAACATAAGAGGTTTCAGTGTGGCCTTCTTTTGTTTTCTTTAAGCATGATCAGATTTGGTGTTGGCAGGTCAGAGAAAGAACTAGAATGGTGAGAGATTGCAGGCAAGTCACCTAGTTATAAAAGCTGTCCATGCAAGAGTGTAAGAGGTCTTGAACTCAATATCAGTGTATCATAAGTCAGGATATGGGGCAGGAAACAGAACCACTTTAGCTATTTTGAAGAATAGGGTGCTTATAACATCATTGGAAGGAACAAAAGTCAGAGCTACCACTGGACTTCTGATCTTAAGGCCACGGACTGTTGCCGTTGCTACTACTACCTCCACTGCTATAGCTACTTCTCACCCATGAAACTGGTGAGCTGATGGGAGAATCAGGAATGTGGTTACTACAACCATTCAATGTCTATTAGACATTTTTGTCAGTTACCCTTTACTATAGGAAGATGTTCTTTGTCACACTTGTGCCTTCCATGTTCAAAAAATTGGCAAACCTATGTCCAACACCTTGCCTTTAAGGAAGTCTTTTAGCTTTCTAACCTCTTCAAATAGTAGAAATATTAAATGGAGGTCTTGAGACCAAATCCCAGAGTCCACTACAGGCAGTGAGGATGGAGAACATTTTTTATTAAATGTTAGATATTTAAGAGTTCTTATATAAACTTATTTTTAAGTAATTCATACTAAAAAAATAAAGTTCACCTTGAGGAACTGGTATTTATGATGATGTTGATGCTCTTAGGATAAATTCATGTAAACAAAGATCTGTAATTATAATTCATCTAAAAAGACCTGCCAATCTAAAAGTTCCCTCGCATTGCTAAACTTCATTCCAGTCAGTCTTTTGTTTTTGTGATTTTGCTACCTTGAGGTTTTCCCTAATGGTTATGTGCAGAGTCCTGGTGTCAGAGCTGAGATAGGAACCACTGATTTCTCTGTGATTCATCAGTTTAAAACTTGGGCTGAGTGTTGTTCCCTCCTTTTTTTTCCTCCCAATTCTTCTTCTTCGCCTTTTTTTTTTTTTTAAAGATTAAAATATTCTTTCGTTACTTAATTTCATTAATTAAGGAAACATATCTCCTTAATTCTTGCTATGCAAGAAATATATAACTCTTATTTTGATCTGTGAGAATTTGCACCTATGCTCTCTTTAAAGCAAAGTCAAATATTTGATATTCTAATTATATACTTTATAAATTCAAGTGCTTTCCCACTATTGCTACTACTTCCGCTACTAGTTTTTTCACTGGATAGA